AATGGATGAAGACCTGTATCCCTGGAAGCAGTCTAGTGACACTTTGTGCTACTTAGTGCATGAACTCCAGGCTTGCACATAAAGTGAGATACCACTAGAGAGTAGCAAGCATCGGAGAACATAAGGCACCCGAGCTTTTAAAATTAGCTCCTAGCAAAGGCTTCCCTCGAAAATTGACTTTCAGTTAGTCAAAAAAGCAACTCTCAGTCTAGCGTACGCCACGCTGACAAAACCATCTTCCGCAGATTACGTGCACGATCTATCAGGTATCCGCCTAGCTAGCAGGTGACGCGCGAGCGCCTTGATCTAGTAGTCACGAACGACTGAAGCCTTTGAAATGAGCTCAGTGGCCAGACCAACAAGTGCTTCACGATTCTCGTTTCAGGTTTTCTATTACACCTTAAACAATGCGATTACAGCCGAAAACCGAGCCGCATAGCAGCTTCGAATGCAGCCGCGGCATTCGTTTGCGCAAAAGACGACGCGGCGGCATCTCTACTCCAGTTGCGGCGCCTGGCGGGAAAATGCTGCACTAGCACCGACGACCGCTTCCCATTGAAATCTGCTCCTTCGCCCGGCCACTGAAAAAATAGAGGAGGCGCTGCTCTGGCTGACTGGCTCAGATGACATTCCAATTATGCTGATAAAGACATTAGGTCCGAAGTCTAAGCAGGCTTTGAGAGAGGCAGTGAGCAAAATAATAATCGATGGAGAAGTTCCCGATGGATGGAAACTTAGCAGGATGAGCATGATCTATAAAGGAAAGGGGGACAAAGCTGACATAAACAACTACCGTCCTATAACAGTGACATCAGTGGTCTACAGGCTGGCGATGCAGATTATAAAGGAAAGACTGCAGGCATGAATAGAGTATGAGGGGGTGCTGGGGGAACTGGTGAATGGGTTTCGGAAACACAGGTGGTTGGAAGACAATCTGTTCTCACTGACGCAGTGCAGCGAAATAGCAGAAAAGGAACACAGGCCCCTGTGGCTAGCATTTTTGGATATCAAGGGAGCGTACGATAGCGTGGTTCAAGAAGAATTGGGGGAATACTGGACGCACTAGGTGTGGACGATGTAGTCACTAATCTTTTAAAGGATATCTATACAGGTAACAAGGTAATTATAAAGTGGGAAAAACAGGTATCCAAGCCTGCAGAGGTAAAACGGGGGCTTAGGCAGGGGTGTCCTCTGTCACCCTTATTGTTCATGATGTACCTACAACGATTAGAGGGCCAAATTAGAGAAAAGTGGACTGGGCTTCAACCTCTCTTTCGTCAAACAAGGAAAAGTCATTGAACAGGCACTACCAGCATTGATGTACGCAGATGATATAGTGCTAATGGCCGACAACAAGGAAGATTGCAGAGATTGGTGGACATCTGCGGTAATGAGGGAGATAGGTTAGATTTCAGATTCAGTAAGGAAAAATCAGCAGTCACGATTTTTATTGACAATGAAGGTAGCGAGCTTAGAATACAGGAGGTCACGCTAGAGATAACAGATAAATACAAATATCTGGGCGTATGGATAAGCAATGGGACCGAGTACCTAAGGGAACACGAAATATACGGGACGACTAAAGGTAACAGGAATGCAGCAGTGATGAAAACTAGGGCACTGTGGAATTACAATAGGTATGATGTTGTGATAAGAATATGGAAAGGGGTCATGGTTCCTGGGCTTACGTTTGGCAATGCGGTCTTGTGCATGAGGTCAGAAGTTCAAGCAAGATTAGAAATTAAGCAACGTGGAATAGGTGGGCTTGCTTTAGGAGCTCACGGGAATACACCAAATCAGAGAGTACAAGGTGATATGGGATGGACATCATTTGAGGGCAGGGAAGCTAGCAGCAAGATAAAATTTGAGAAGCGATTGAGAGAAATGGGGGAGGAGCGCTGGACTAGGAATGTTTTCAGCTACTTGTACATGACGAATGTCGATACAAAATGGCGAAAGCGAACCAGAAAATTGACTGGTAAATACTTAGAAAACAGCAGGGGGCCAAACCAAAAAGAATTATCGTTTAAGAAGAAGGTGAAGGAAACGGAAACTGACATGTGGAGAATCGGCATGATTAAGAAGTCCGCACTAGAGATCTGTCGAACTTTTAACCAGGAAATTGCCAAGGCCAAAGGATCTATGATAATACTAGGGGTAGTTCTCTACTGTTTGAGGCCAGGACAGGAGTATTGCGAACCAAGACATATCGGGCCAAATACGAAGGGGTAGACACGGTATGCAGTGCGTGAGGAGAGGAAGAAGAAACTGCCGAACACTTGATAATGTTCTGCAAAGGGCTTCATCCTATAGTTCAGGATGATGGCGCAGAGTTTTTCAAAGCACTGAGGTTTAGGGAGAGTGAGGGCAAAAGAGACTTTAAGCGGGTAGAATCAACTAGAATGAGGTTGTCTGATTGGTGGCTAAAGTCAAGGCACGAGTGAAAATTAAACCCTTCACTGCGGAGTGCGAATCCTCAACCTCACTATTTAAGGGAAAAAAATAAATCTAGTTTTTGGTTCAGTGAGTATTACGGCTTGGTGGCGCTAGCCGCCACCCGATCTAAATGGTACAGCCATATCCATCCATCCATCGCCCTACGCCATCTTCTGCTGCCGACAAGAGCTCTCGCTGAGTGGTGCCCCGTCCTCGGACTCCTGCGACCGTGTCCATCTTTCCTATCTTCTGCTTGCTTCTGGGTGTCGCTGTCCCTGCGCCACGCTCTCTTTTCCCCCCTCTCTATCTCTATAGTTTTAATCCTATCCTTTTAATCACTCCTTACCCCCATCCCTCGTGAGCTACTGTTGAGGTGTCGTGCACTGATGCAGACAGTTACTAGGCTCACTTCTCTCTTTTTTTTATCTTTCAGAATCACATAAGAATCACATAAGGCCTACCACGACAAAGCGCTCGGGTATAATTGATCAGTGCCAGCAGCATCAACATGGGCAGACTCGAATATGCGCGTATTACGTTACGGACGCGCAGTGGTTATTCTGCAATCGGCAAAAGGAATAATTATGGCACACTTTTACTTAAAGAATTATGGCGATTTCCAACTCTGCTTGCAGTAGCCACTCTGGTTTGACACGAGTGCTGACGTTCTTTCTTGCTTTTTTTTTTGCTGCACCGTTGGGCTCTAGTGACGTTCGCTGTTAGAATTAGAATTTTTTTAAAAATTGAAGTGCATTGGTACGAATACAAAAATAATACACATGTTTTGTACACATGAGGAGGTCCGGACCTAATGTCTAAAGCTTTGGGGACTTTTTCCTAAAGGCAATTATGATACATTACACAATGTTTAAATAAACAGTGATACAGCAGACAGATGTAAGCAAAAAAGATAAAGAAAAGAAAACATGGCACAACGCACCGTAAAACAGAAAGTGCCTTAAAATTGCTACGCTGGTTTTGCAATAAAAATTCGGGGACACGTTACTTATGATATACAAACTTTACGTACGCCCAATTGTGGAGTTTGGTTGCGTTCTGTTTTCCGGAAGTGCTGAGTACAAATTAAGACCTCTTCTATTGCTAGAAAGGCAAGCTCTGCGGCTCTGTCTCGAACTACCTAGGTGCGTCGCGAATAGGGTGCTTTATTAGGAAGCTTGAATCATTTCACTTCATGCAAGGTTTCGACAGCTTACCGTGCAAACATTTATAAAGCTCTACGATGCGCCCATCTCCTGTTCATAGACAGTTTTCATCAAATATCCAGTTTATTTCTTTTAAGCGCACGTGGTGTCGTTATAAAAGACACCAAGTCCTTTTCGTCAAGTCTCTGTTATCAAATCTTCACGTTTCCCTCCAGAATTTATCTCCCCAAACCCCATGATCGATGCCAGTTGACCTAATTTTAGATGATTTTTTTTTCAAAAAACGCCAAGTTACTTCCAAAACATGTTCTGGAGGGCCTCACTCAAGACCATCTCGGTCATATTCCTAATTACGTAGTAATTTCGAAAGATGCAACACAAAATCTTCAGAAGGCTGGAGTAGGTATTTTTTCTCATCCGCTCAACTGGTCTTTTGCGCTCCGATTGCCTGACTTCACACCAATTTACCTCGCAGAATTTCTGGCTATTACATTGGCTCTTCGAAAACTAAGTTCTCAGCAATCAAAAGCTATTATTATTTCGGATGCTTCGCCTGTTTGTACACATTGCCGTCCGCAAATCAGTCTCCTCTTCTCAGGATATTTTGGTCTCTCGTACCGCGTACCCCATCAGAAGTTCTGTTTCTTTGGGTCCCCGGGCAGGCTAGAATCGCACTAAATGAAACTGCTGACTCACTTAAAATTTCCCGGTGGTACTAGTAGCTCCACAGTTTTCTTTTATTACTGCCGAACGATTCAGACGCCTGTTGATTTAGAAAATAAACGAAACATCGCTCCTGTAATCTGAAGAATTTCGGCACTTCTGATTCACATGGAACACCGCGAAATGCCTTTCCCGTCAATGTGAGATGACCCTCACAAGCTTTCGCAGCAGCGTTCCCCGGTTAAATTTTTATCTCCACAAATCAGGTTTTTCATTAACTAATTTATGCGCAGTTTGCAATGAACCAGAAACAATGGATCACTTTCTTCTCACATGCCGCTTCTTCGCCTCACTGCGCCGAATAATCCCCCCTTTTATCGTTTGGAGCCAGTCAGTTGGGTGCAGGCCACAGTGCTATTCTGTCAGCGCTACATAAATTCATTCAGGCAACCGGAGGAATGCGCTGCTAGTGGTACTGCCAGATATATAAAATTCTGTGTCTCCCCTCTTCATTTGTGCTAATTTGTTTTATATATTCTGGTCTATTGATTTCTCTTGCACTTTTTCACATTTTTTTAAAGGAACATTATTATTGTTCTTATCTAATTTCTCTCTTTTTTTAGCGATCGTTATATAAAAAATTTCCATAATAAGATACAGTGTGGCCGATCCCCCTTGTGGGTATGAGCCAAGATCTTCTAGGTGACAAGACAAGACAAGAGTGATCCCGAAGCCACCATGAGGGGCAAAGAGAGCAGAGCGGGTCAGAGGAACATCCTAGTCAAAGTCAAGAAAAAGAAATGGTCAGGGCGCGTAGCGCGAATGCAAGATAACCACCGGTCATTAAGGATCACAGACTGGATCCCAAGAGAAGGCAAGCGGATGAACGGGAGACATAATGTTAGACGGGCAGATGAGATTAGGAAGTTTGCGGTTACAAAGTGGCAGCAGCAAACACAGGACCGAGTTAGACTGGTGGAGCATCGGAGATGCCAAATTTGTTGTCCAGTGGGCGTAGTCGGATTGATGATGATGAATCCCAAAGACAGCTTTGAGCATAAAAGTACTGACAGTTCGTAAGTGCAATTAATGGTTCGTCTTAACTTCATAAGAAAAAAAACTCATTAGCGATGTTCAAGTCATGTGTTCAAAGGAAGAGTAAACTGATATATAGTTTCAAACAGTAACTTGAAACTCTCCGATTGGGTTTCTTCTGTGTTCACGTGACATGCTAGCATAGCGCGCGACCAGGCTTGGCGACAGATCGTGTGGGCCCCGTTGTGCAGCGCGCCCCGTGCGTGTTTTTTCGGCGGCGGCCGGGGCCTTCTGAACGGGCACGGGTGGGCCGGGCTACGTGCAACATGAGGTTCGAAACGCTTGTTTTCTTTCTCTCGATTATTTCTCTGTGTGTCACATTCCTAACGGTTTAGCGTACGCCCAAGTTTCTGGCAAAGCTCTCGCGATAGAAGGAAGCCCTATAGTCGATTCCCCACGCTTTATAGATCTGCGCAGTGTCTGTTTACCCGGCAACAGGGATAATTGTTCAAAAAATTTCTTGAATAAGTTGAATAGGTTAGGTTAAGTTCTACCGGTTGCCGGGATAATCATACAAAACATTTATCCCGGCAGTTAGTCACGTGACTAATGAGAGCCAATGGGAGGCGACTGCCGACAGTATAGACACACCCATAGATTTATATTCCATGTTTGTAAACAGCGGTAGGCGCCGTCGCCGCACTGAGGCGCTTTTGGCGACGCGTAGGCTCCGCCGATACTAGCCCCGCCCAAAGCTCGCCATGAGTATGGTCACGGGATGACGCGCACAGCAGCCGCAAAGCTGCCTCCGAGCATAGCGCGTAGGGTAGGCTTCCCAACGCGCTGTGCTCGAAGGCTGCCTTGCAGCAGCTGCATCTGTTGCCACGTGATCATGGATAGGGGTGGTACAGTGGCTAGAATAGCCACTGTAGGGGTGGCGAGCTATGGGCGGGACGCTGCATGTTGGGCTTGCCACGGGAGTACAAAGGCTTACGCCACAGCGTTAGTACTCCATGCTGCTGTCATGCGCGCCTGTCCTCAAAGTTAGAGTATGTATATTTATTACCCATCCCCGTTCAATTCGGCACTGCTTACGTACGTAGTTCACGTACATTCGTGCGTTCGTATGTGTACATGCCCGTATATACGCAAACCAAATTGAAATATTTTATAACAAAATTTGACACCCCCCCCCCCCCCCTCTACCCGCCTTCTATACGCTCCTGGCCTGAAGATACTAAAAGGGTTATGCTTCGTTTTCCCGCAGTACCAAGGTTAGCCGTGAGCTGTTGCACGAGAGCATCAACGCCCTCCTGGACGAGTCGGCCCGCCGCCACCGCAAGTTCACAGAGACGGTCGAGATGCAGATTGCCCTCAAGAACATCAACCCTCACAAGGACAAGCCCGCCTCTGGCACATTCAGGTGCGCGTACAGCCTTCGATAACCAGTTATTATAACAAGTCAATGTAACGCCGTGTGGTGGAGGCCAATTGTTTCTGGAAATTTCGACCATCTGGTGCTTTCAACGCGCACCTGAATCTAAGCACACATCCCTCGAGCATTTCTACATGCGTAGAAAATGCGGCCGCTACTGCTGGCATTCGTTCCCGAGTCCTTCAGTTCAGCAGTCACGCAGTGAAACCACTAGACTACCGTGGTACTTACCGTAATGACGCTTTGCCGGTAATCAGTTACTTTTCCTGGTAGACCTGACCTGAAGACCCAAAGATGTCTCCTGAATCAAGCCTGGCGAGCTGCAGCGGCCACTGGTGTCCTGGAATGGGGAAACCGCCCTTGACTTTCACCCCTCCCCGTTTTTCTTTTTTTCATAAATAAAATGTTGCATCATCATCATCATCATCATCATCCGGGTAGCGTCGAACTTTAACTTTTAAATGCGAAACAGTTCAGCGTCTAGTTGAATCCAGAGTGTGGCGTGACCATCCTCACTGCGCATGTGTGTCCACTTCCCCTTATCTCCTCTTGTACGTTCACCCTTCTCTTGCCATGCAACGCCGACGCAGGGAGCATTGGCTAACGTCATGCTATATATATTCTCTCACTCGTCCAGGCATTCCCCCCCCCCCCCTGGTGTATACATTGCCATTGAGCATGCGCGATCCCTTTCTCCACTACGCCCCCCCCCCTTTCTCTCGCCTCACAATGTCGATGCAGGCAGCGTCTGCTACCGCGTATGTTGATTAAAAACAAACGACTGCACTCACTACACGGCCATTCGCTTGGGACCTACAAGTTTGTGCCGGTAGAAGATTTATTCTGTGCGTTGTTGAACAATCAAAAATTCGCAGCGTGTGCTTTTAACTAAAAGCGGACTGCAGGTCCATTAAAATTACAGTATGTATGCTTATTAAGCAACCAGGCCAATTCTGCGCTGCTAACGATGTATAATGAGTTGCACGGCGAGAGGCGGCGTGGCTGTCGCGGCCACCATGAACCAAGTCGAGCCATGGCGCATGCGTGCGGAGTGCACGCATGCGCAGTAAATCATCGCGCTCGAACACGAAGCACTCGCGCGCCCACTGTTTGCGGCGTGTGAGCAAACGACTTCATATTCACTGCAGAGAGAGAGAGAGAAAAAAAAACTGATTACAAATCTTTCGTGGTGTTTTCGCTTCGCCATTCCGACACTGGGCTCATCGAACGGTAACTTTTCCGTTCCGCTAAAAACAAATGCCATCATTAAAATAGGTTGTTAGGCCCTTTAAGCCATGAATGTAGTAAACTGTCGCATGTGCGCGCACACACACGCACTCGTAAGCGTCCGAAGGGATCCCCTTGAGGGTTGGGATGGAAGGCTAACTGCAGTGCCTCCTCCCCTGTTAAGTCAGTGTATGGGGCATACATTGCACCTCCCTTCCTTCCTAGGTGACTATAGCCTCTTACCCCACGTGCACCCACGCATGTGCGCCCACTAACACATGCACACGAGTGTGCAGTTTACTCGCGTGTATTTGCGGAGAATCGGAATGGTGATACCAGGAAATCTGCGGGAGACATACTATGGCTTCGTTGACGAAATGTCTTTTTTTAGGGGCGAAGCTCCTTAGGACGTGGGCTGTGCGTCCCCTGTAGCCTGTATGTAGCCACCTCTAGTTTAGTTCTTGCAGTGTTCACAAGATGGCGGTACCGTCTCCTGTATGTAGCCACCTCTCGTTTAGTTCTTCTAGTGTTTACTAGATGGTGGTACTTGTAGCTGATGATGAAAAGATGCAAGATGTTATAAACTAGAAAGCGGTACTTGTAGTTGATGAAAGACGCGAGATCTTATAAAATAGGAATGATGTCACATATGGCGCGTGTTATTGGTTGAAGGCAATCGTTCGATTTAGTGCGGCGACGTACGCTAGGGGGAGCGATGTAATAAAATCGAGTGGGCAAAATGTACACAGGATTCATGGTTTACCAGGTTTACCTCCGGAGCTTCGCCCACTCATCATCATTCACTTCGTGGATATGGCGGAATTTTTTTTTGTTCTCGCGGATGATGCATGATAGTCGTGTGTATACTGCGCTCGTCGCTTACGCAGAGTGAGGCACTGCATGAAGCCAAACTTCAGGGTTTGTGTGATCGGCGACCCGCAACACTGCGACGAAGCCAAAGCGAAGAAGGTCGACTGCATCGACATGGAGACCATACGCCTGATGAGGAAGAAGTCCAGCATCGCCAAGAAGATAAGTACGTGCTGCTATACTTCGCGTCACACTCGTATTTGTATGACAGAAAGAAGCGAAATTCAAAGGCTCGTTTCCTTTGTTAGACACATCAATCGGTGCATTTGATTCTGAGAAAGCTAGCCTCATCCTGATTCACACTCCCAGGTTTAAATACAAGATACACTAAGTTAGGTACGCGAAGACGACCGTGTTCGTAAATTGGTAGAACATCGGAACCGTTATTCCGTCCCTGCAGGTGGAAAGTTGCCCTTTCGGGAATTTCAATTTCCTTGAAGTCGTATTATAATTACTGCAAATGACGTCGCTTTTGATTTTCTTGGCTTGATTAGAGAGCATGAGACACAGGGTCCCCAAGCTGCGTTGCGTAGGTTGCTCTTGCGTTCGGAAGATCAGCAGAGTTTGGGAACTTGGTCAAACGCAGGCGGTGTTGGATCAAACGCACGGCCACAAACGGCGAAACTGAAATTATGCGATGGGCGGGCTATACTGCGTCGGAGACAATGTTGCGTCTGCATAGTTTCGCTGGCGGCCCAATACACCTTGGGGGGCCCACGCTAGTTTTCGGTTTTTGGGCTTTCGTACAGCGCAAGAGCCTATGAGCGCCTTCGGTTCTGCGCATGCGCCCTGGTCGCTCGCAGATTTCTAGGATCCCCAAGTAACGCGGCCGACTCCATGGATGGCGTCTCATACATGCCATGACCACATAAAGTGCTGGTGTAAACCAGATTATTTCATTTCGCAGCCACGTTTACAGCAAGTATATTTTAGATTCACATCGGCGACTGACACAAGTACGCGACAGGTGACAGATAGTCATACCAGCGACCATGGTGTGCCATCCGTCACACCAATTTCTGCTCCTGATAACGTCCGTCTCGTTGCTATAATGACGTGAAATATAAAATGGTCTCTAAGATATTCCGACGTCATGCTCTTGGGCCGCTGTATGGCTTGGCGGCTTTGAGACTTGACCATAGAAACACGAAACACGCTGCAAGCGATGTTATATATTTAAACTTTACATGGATGATGGAACCTTGCGGGTTCGGTCTTCCAGAGGCAAGATTCATTTTTCCTCCTTTTAACATTTATAATTATTAGAAGTAACACATTCTATACTTTCCTTCGCAATATTGTCGGTATGTTCTTATTAATGATGAAATCGCATGGTTAGTCCCCACTAGTGGCCTTATCGTCCACTTTTTTTTTTTCGCATTTGCATTTCAAGAGCCGCTAATAACATCATCCATACCTTCTCTGACATTGCTGTCCATCAGTTCTCACCAGTATTGCATTTGACAAAGAGAAACGAGCCCTTGAAATTCACCCTGCTTTCCTTCTTGATCAGTCAAGAAGTTCGATGGCTTCCTGGCGTCGACCAGCATCATCAAGGACGTAACCAACCTGGTGGGTCCCATGATGAAGAGGATGGGCAAGCTGCCGCTGCCACTCGCGCACGACGACGACATGTACGAGAAGATCCACGAGGCCAAGACCACCATGACCTTCAATATGAGGAGGGTAAGACCGCAGAGGTTAACTTTCCACGCCTATGGTGTTGCGGCTCCCGTATGTAGTCCATCAAAAAGTGTTGGCTGGTTTAAAATACTTTGAATGGCTGAACTAGGTGCAGACAGCCTCTTGACGTTTCTCGCATAGCTTTTCTCGCCCGGAAGACTACGTTTCGGGGCAGCACTTTTGGGTACAGCGCGAAAACGACGATGACGGAGGAGTACAGAAGGGACACAGACACGCGCTGATTCAGTTTCAGTTTCAAATTATTCATTCATTCAAAATACAAAATTCGTAGAATGTAGTATGCAGACGAGGGTCCCAAAGTCAAGCGACTGCAGTGGGACCCTCGGTTAACAGTAACAATAAAATTATTAATTATAACAGCACGTAAAATACGCAACACAGGTGAAAAGTAAACAGTGAACTTACATAAAATAACATCAAGTAAAAAAAAGGGCAGTCAGAATGCGACACAAGAACAATAGTAATAAGTTATACAAGTAAAACATAATCACGCCATAAAGCAATAACCTAAATTTGCTAAGACTTTCCAACTTCATGCCCGGATACATAAGAATCGTTAAGTAATCATCGTTGTCAACCTAGTTATGCAAGATGAAGTTTTTAAGTTCACGTTTGAATGCACGAAAAGATGATGATGATTTTAGTGTATATGGCAGGTTATTCCACAATTTAATGGCCGTGAAGGCGGACGTCATTTTGCCATAATTGGTGTTACATTTAGGTAAAAGGAAGTTGTGACTGTGGACGAATCTAGTGCTATTGGAGTTAGTGAGTAAACTAGCATCGATTAAATCAAACACAAGCTGTTTGTTAAGTTGTTTATATAACAATATGATTAAGTGAAAATTAAATAAGCCAGACACAGTAAGAATACAGTTAGCCTGAAGGAGTGGGTAGCATTAGAATAAAATGAACTGTTGGTAATAATGCGAATGGCCTGATTCTGAATGTGCTGTACAGACGAACTATGAGTGTTATATGTCAGATTTGGGTGCACGTTAAAGAACCCCAGGTGGTCGAAATTTCCGGAGCCCTCCACTACGGCGTCTCTCATAATCATATGGTGGTTTTGGGACGTTAAACCCCACATATCAATCAATCAATGAGTGTTATATGTATTTCCCCATGATGTAATGCCATAGGTGATGTGACTATGTATTAAGGCAAAGTATAAAGACATTTCGCTACAGAAAAGTTTTATTTAAAAACACATGAACGTGAAAGCAATAAAAAATAAAAAAATATGTATAAGACTAAAGCGAAACGTGTCTTTACAGAGCTTGTTGAGCGGTTATTGTGCATTGCTTCAGCAACGGCCAAAAAATGCAAAGCCACGTTTACAACGGCAAGCAGCTTGAAGCTTGCAGCGCGCACCTGAAGCAGAAAGCACGCATGACATTAACATACACAGGAAGAGCGTGGACTATATAACTACTGCCACAGCTCGACACTGAAAACGCGTTGTTCGATACGCACGAAACAGAGGACAAGCGCGAACAACCGTCACAATTCTTCCTGCGTCGTATTTCGGCATCGCGGTCTTTTCGTAAACGTGGCAGTTTGCGAATTGACCTTCATCCTTTCCCGAATAACGAGTCTGATAAGCGCGCGCGCGCAAAAGAGAGTATACGCTCCTTGGAGGCGATGACCTTTTCAGCGCGCCCAACGCGAGCCCATCGCGTCATCTCTCCATTGACAACAAAAAACGCGCTAAAGTTTCGAAGCTCTGAGGACTACCAAACTGTGCATGGTGTATATAATTGGCTTCACGTTAGCACTCAGGACAACGCACGCTCCGAGACGTAGTGGCTGCGCGCGACGAATGCTAGCCTCCTGGTTTTGGGGGGTGAAGCTTATACGATGTGGCTCAGTACCTCCTCCGTTGTCGTAGCTACCCCTTGCTTCTAGATGGCGCTGCGCTGTTGCAGTACGTGAAGTGATCGGTAGATCGCGGGGAGACAGACGAATGCGTTGGAGACGCGTGACCAAAAGGCGGTAGTAAAGCGTGGAGATGGACGGCTGGACCCAGAGCTGAGAGACTACGAAGCTTCGACCCAATGATCATTCACTCCGTGGATATGCTATGAATTTTTTTCGTTGCAGTCTTTTAGTATATATTTTTCAACGTCACTTCCGTGACGGATGTACGTCAGCGGAGCCATGGTGGTTTTCGGCATAAAACAATTCCGTGTTAAAAAACATATGAACATGATTTCTGTACTCTTCCGTCTTCATTGTTATCGTGCTTTAACCCCCCCCCCCAACTGCTTCCTTACAACTGGCTTAACTCTCAATGCTATTATACGTCTCGAGACTTGTGATCCGTCGGCTACATGTTCTAGGGTCCCCTATAGTCATTGCTGACCCAGTTAACAGACGCTAAAAAAAGAATTTGCCTAAAAAGGGTGTTTTTTAATCCAACAGAACATATAGTCCTGTTGCTTTCTTGTGTTTTCTTTCTTGAAAAATGGGTGCTTGCCACTTAAATAAAAAGGCTATGTCACACTTAACTAAAAATTTGGAAAACACTACGCACGTGTTAATAATGAAAGGAACACGCAATGTAGATGACGATTAGAGCCTTTTTGTTTGACCATAACACACCCATTGTATACTCTTTTTTATGGTGTGTGTTGGTAAAGTTGAATGCTCGTACTAAGAAAAGATTGAGAAAAAAGGGATTTTTACCCACCTACCAGTTCTGTACCGTAATGAATGTAAAAATTAATATGCAGCGATGGAGTGGTTATTGCGAAGGCCTGCCATTGGTCCCCGTTGGACCCCGAGTTTCCGGTAACCAATAGCGTTAAGTAAACAGTTCTTTGAATTACACAGCAGGGGTTTTTGGCCAGCGCCATTATCATATAAAAAACAGGTGGTCCAACTCAGTAGTGGTATACGGAAGAAGTGGCCCAGCCCTTCATATAACCAGGCGAAAGCTAACTCCACCTCCCTACGCGCACGCTTTTGAGTATCATACAACAATGTCATGCGACCATATAGCAAAACAACTAAACTATATAACACAGTAATAAAAATACTAAAACCAAAACAATAGAGTCGCTACGCCTAAATTTATGACAGTGACGACTACTGACGATAGAAAATACAATGTAAAAGTTTTTAAACGTCCGCATGTTCAACAAGAAGTTTAAAAATTGTGTGGAATTGAGTTTAAATAATGAAGTGAGTGTGAATGACAACGTTTTATGCCGTAAAAGTATACTGCGTTTCATATATTGGCTGCATTGCTATGGAAGCTAACGAGACCTCTTGCAGTGCATGCACTTGCAGCACGAAAAAAAAAAAAAAGCTCAGTGATTTCACTACTTGTTATGCATTTCTTTCTTTTAGTTCTTCAGCGAGTAATAAATTTATATCCGTTGTGTCTGACAAATAAGGAAACGTCATTATTGATACGGTTGTCAATACGCTGTTCAGAATGGCTGGGCGTCTGTTGTTTTTCGTATTGTGGCCTCCGCAATCAGTTCCGTCAGCGCTCATTACAGAGGACACATTTGTCCAAGCGCATGACGCGCGGAGTTGGACATTTTGCTGAACGAACATTTTGCTGACCGAACTTCTTGCATAGCTTCCGCAGTGTTGCACTTGGTGTATGAAATTGAGTATGGTCAGTTCTTCGAATGCGAAATGAGTGCATTTAGCGAGTGTGGACGACATTCGCATTCATTGCGACGTACACCTCGTCGCAGGTGCTGTGGCTCGCCGTGTGCGTCGGCCACGTCAAAATGACGACCGAGATGCTCTCCGACAACGTCAACGAAGCCATCAGGTCGCTCTTGACGCTGCTCAAGAAGAACTGGCAGAACATCAGGTCCATCCACCTCAAGTCCACCATGGGACGACCTCAGAGAATCTACTAAAGCCACGCCCACCCCTGCTTGGTCGTACAGCTCAAGATAAAAATAAAAAAAAGGTGGCAGATAATTAAAAAAAAAGCAGCGACACAAAGGCTCCGCCAACGCTGCAAAGGCTTGTTCAGGATTGATTTATATCAGGGACGCAAGCCAGAAAGCATCTATTTGGCTATGCCCCCTGGCTAAGCACCCTGGCTCTTATGCCAGTGATTGGGATTGTCTTCTGCCCGGTGCGTCGTTCTCTATAGTATGTCTGTAATATTATATGAGGGTTGCCAGGTTAAAAAGACAAAAACATAGCCAAGAAATTTGGAACTTGCCAAAAGCTAACTTGAGCAAAAGATAGTAAAAATAGCGAAAAGTAGCCATGCTTTTAAAGTGAACGATGTTAAGCTCAGTCAATGCAATAAACACTTAACGGGAAGTAGCAAGAAGGCTGAAAGAATACCTAAAATTCTTAATTGCTGAAATCAAGAGTATAAATTGTTTGCCTTAAGAAACATTTCGTGCAAGACGACGAAGTTTTTGAACCGGCGCAGAAATTGTACTCCGTTCAAGCGCCTTTCTTAACTTTTCGCGGAAGGAGCAGAACTATACTAGCTTTGAGGCGATGATAAAAGGACTTCGTACTCCATGAACGCTGAAAATCACAGTTGCTGTGATTGAAAGAAATCGTGGTCGCTTCGCAATCACTTCTCAAGTGATGGGGAAATGTAAGCAGTTAACGCCTTTAAGCCCGTTTTTACACAGAGTTGGGCTGGCGAATATGCGGGTCTGAAATATTGCCACAAGAATGCCTTTGATAGGGATTGTATAAGATTTTAATATCTAGTTTTAAAAATTTACAGATGAAGTGCCAAATAAAATATATTGAAACCTTTTATATCTATTCGAAATTGTACTGGTACGGCTTATTCCGTTTTTTAGGTATGCTTGAGCACGGACAGCGCGGACGTGATATCCAATTTCTGACGTAGATGAGTGCGGAGCGTTCTCGACTCGGGACGTATTAGATTATCCTCACAACTTCAAACTGCAATCTTAAGTAATATTCTTGTAAAATGAGGCCCCATGCAACAGTTGCCCTTCCTTCAATCACTTTGCATGGCTCTTCAAAAGTCGTTTATTTAAGGCAACGGAAGAGCTTAATTCAATTTTGGGGACCAAGGCCTGTCCTGGCCACCATGTTTTGAAACCACATATGCGATTTCAGCGGCCATGACGTCCCAAGATTTCAATAATTTATTTCAAACCAAACTAGCGAGAAAGTAGTCAGAAACTAACTATGTAGTTAAGGTAATTTTTTTACGCCATGGCTATAACAATGGTAGACGCTCAAGCTTCACCTTCTAAGGGTATACATCTCGATAGCCTAACTGAGCTCCATGCGCATATTCTTTTGAATTGCAAGCCTGCGCTTCGCGGTTCTGGGTGCATGCCTCAACCATGTCGTAAGAAACGCCAGTGCGGGCAACAGCAGCTGCCTCAACGTACACTGAATGCTATGCTAAAAGCACAGTTGTTTTCCCACTACACTCCTCCTTTATTCCTTTCGCGAATCAGCAAATACGCGCCCATAAGGCAACACGCGGGCCTACGGAGCCGTTCAGTTTGTTTATGGTTCTGCGGCCGAGCATGGTGAAATATGCCTGAGCGAGCAATGGGTGGACTTTTAGAGGCCCCGCTCTTGTTACTCCAAACAGCGCATGCACGGGATACAGAAGAGACGACAGCACAAAGGCGCTGAACGCAGAGAAGCGATTGCGTTGCTCGCCTTGCCACCCTTTTGAACTCGCCCGTTGCTCAACTCGCATCTTTTGAGGCCTGGCGCAATCCTACGCTTCTGCCGCACAAAATATGATGCGTTAAGGAGACGCCCTCCAATGCATGACACTCGTGTATTGTTATTTTTCGAAGCAGTTTCAACAAATACTATCTCTAGTAGAACAGCCTCTTGAGGCGCAGACGACCTGGGGGTGACCCTCACTCGAACCCGAATTTTTTTATTATTTTATTAGTACCTTTCTCCGTTTTTGGCCACGGACAAGATGATTTTTTATTTTCAACCAACGACGCTGACAACCATGCCGACGCGAGAATTTCTGCGAACGAGCTCTTTAACGCTATCGCGTTAATAGTAGCCGAATTGCCGCAAAGCAGTCATACATGGCAACCCTGCATGCTATAGAAACGTTGTTCCGAGTTGAAAATGCCGCTGTTATATTAATATAGGGGAACGCTGATTGGCTGGTTGAGGAAAAGTGGGTAAATCAATCCTCCCTAAATTGGGCACGTGAGACGCTGATTCGCTCGGAGGATTTCAAACTGGATGGTCGTGCCCTTGCTTTCTCCGACGACAGCGTAGCTCCCGTCGACCGGTTCGCCCTCCACGGTCTCCTGACGCCATGAAGCTCTTGCATTATGGTGCCCCGGCCTTGGACTGCTTCGACCGGATCCCCATATTCCCATCTCCTATTTTCCGTCCCTGGCCTTCTCTATCTCTTCATCTATTTCCTTCTATTCTTTTAACCCTCCTTCCCCCCACACCTATAAGGTACTGCGCCGTGTCGCTCTTGAGGCAGACAGAAATTGGTGCCTTTTTTCTCTTCCTTACAACCCCCCCCCCACCCCCCACCCCCCCAAGCGCGCAAAGTGGTCTTCTCGTATGACAGGGTCTTTAAGGTAAAAAGTACGGTACCTGCGGCTGCTGCTTCATGAAGGACATACGCGCGCGCGCTCTCTGAATGTACAGATTGTCTAAGATGCCCTAGAACATGCTATGACAGGTAACCGTATGGTTTTTATGTGGACCATCTCATAAACCCACACGTTATTGACCGGGTGAATCAAAGAAACATCTCATATAATGATTATTAACGGGGTGACATAAGAAGGGTTCCCACCTCGGTACAGGACTGTAGCAGCCGCGGATTCAAAAAGTACAGTGAACGGTCTGAACATACATATATCTACAGTGATAATAAGAATATTAGGGGGTTTTACGTTTCAATATCATGGCATGATTTTGAGAGACGCTATAGTAAAGAGCATCTGGTGCACGTGCACTGACATTGCACAGTACACGGGCCTCTGCCATTTCGACTCCATCGAAATGCCCCTGCTGCGGCCGAGATCAATCCCTCTACCTCCGGGTACGCAGCCGAGCTGTAAATGCAGTCCACCTCTGACTCACCGAGGTGGACTGCATTTACAGCGAGTTATAGTGTTTACAGTGTTGAAAAACTGCAACAATATATTCGTGAGAGAAGGACCTTATGGGTGCTAGCTCCTTGCGACCAATGATATTTATGCGCAGTCATCAGCAGCAATCAGTTATGCAAGAGGGACACTGTATTCGAGTTGATTAGCACGGCTTACCATGTGGCCAAGTGCGAAATCGGGATGTTTCAGATGAGAAGTCAGCTTATGAGAAGCTTGATATCTAGATATGAATATGTGAAAATATAAGAGACAAAGAAACGTTAAGGGTGGAGCCCTAGTCCAGAACTCCAGTGGCCATAGCGGTAGGTTCAGCCTGATCCAAGAAACCTTTCTGGGTCTAAAAGTCAGGTCGATTGAGAACGGCCTTCAAAGGCTCCCTTAGCAAGGTATCTGCGAGGTATATATGAACTATCAACACACATATTCGGCTCACACATTTGAAACTTCTGCATCCCTGCTTAAGCACATCATTTTGTCGGTAAAAACACCGAGCCAATGTCACACGGTAGCAAAATGATACGCACAGATAGCCAGCCACCTTCTCGAGCCTTCGTGACAGGGGGCATTCCAGACGCACATTACAGCACACTATCAAAGCCAACTTCATTACGTGTTCGAATACACTGGATACCCGATCAGTCGGGGATCACAAAGAATGAAGTGGTACACGCCATGTCCGGCCGAACTCTTCTGATTCACTGAAGCGCACCGAATTGCTTTACTATGACACGTTTAGACAGGCGCGAACGATTAGACGAGATGCGCAACAACCACAAAATTTATCCCAATCTACCTCACTCCATGACGAGACGCGAGGCTATACTGGTGAAGCGAGCCCAAACTCGCTTTTTTGATGACATGCCACATTCAACTTGACATAAAGGTCAAGGACGGGTCTCCTGCCTGCGTGGCCGGTGGTGACTTCCCGGATAACGCTCACGTTTTGTCGGATTGTCCGTGCTTTGGTGCAGCCACGAACGAGAGCTTCAAGCACATACCTACAAACCTAAGACATGCGACCCTGGAGGAGTGGCTGGCGGACTCCTCCTCAGACGTCATGAATGCAGTACTCTAACATTTCAAACTTCTAGGCATGTCTGATCGCTAGGCCTAGCTTTTTGTTACTAAACGCAAATCAGCTTTTTGACTAGCCTGTGCAATGCTGTTCCTCCGTCCGCACCACTCCCCTCGCCGCAGGTGTTGGAGCGGTGCCAAGTAGCTCACGCCCTCCTGGCAGTGCGTTGTGACGTCTTTCCCCTCACCTGCCGCGCTCTCACCGCGTGTCAGCTCTCTCGCTTCACCCTCTCCACTGCTTGCAGCGCTCGAGCTTACACCTATGGTGGGCATCACCTAACCCGCGCCACCACTCTCCATCTGTCGGCGAGAATCTCGTGGCACCGAAATTGTGGACACGCGCCCCTGCTTGCCACTGGATCGCGTCTATGGGCGGGCACCGTCGCGGCATGCAGCCGTTAGTGCACGGGTCCTTTTCCCTACTGTCACCGGCGTTGCAAGGGTTAGCGAAGCCGATCTAGTTCGCAAATGACGACGTCAACACCGACGAGGCGCGAGGTAGAAAAGCCGTACGCCAGCGACACCGATGACGTGTGAGTCATGAATACCGACCGCGTTCGAGAATACCGACGTGGCGCGGGTAACATCGACGAAATGCGAGCCAAAGAAGCTGGGGGCAAGCGTCTTCAACGCATCCCACCTCCCGTGTCTTTGCATTTCAAAAAAAAAGAGACGTCTCAATCCTGTCACGTACTGTCCCATCGTGTAAT